GATTACAGGGAAAAGGCAGAGGTACCTTGCTAAGGAAACTGTTCCTTTACAGGGCAAGTACAGACAATGCTACGTCCTCCTATACTGTGGCATTCTATTGTTAACAGCCTGCAGTTTTAAAAGTGGGGGTGAAATAATTTAACTATGTTTAAAAAAAAAACTCACATTCTGAGCATTTCATTGAATACAACCCCTATCCATTGAGGAACTTATTTTCAATCTACACATGACATAAAGAAAGCAAAAAAAACTCAGATATGGATCACATCTGGGCAGGTTATTCTGACTGCCAGGAGATGGCAGAGTTGTCTGAAAAACTGAAAAGCCCAACCCAACTCACAACTCCAAGGCAAAGGGCAAAGGTGAATCACAGCAAAAAGCAACCAAAACAAAGCAATGAACAACTGCACTTCCCACAATCTAGTCTACTGCATTCACTGCTCACACTGTGGTCTCCACTACATCGCCAAACACCTATGTTCCATCTACAAAACAGACCCTGAGCTTCCATTTGCTTGTCACTTCAACCCACCACTGTGTTTCCTGGCCAACATCTTTGACCCCAGGCTTGCTGCAGTGCTCCAGCAAAGCTCAGCGCAAACTGGAAGAACAGCACCTCATTTTCCACTTGGCAACTCTGCAGCTTTCTGGACTTAAAATAGAGTTCAACAATTTTAGGGCCTGAGCACCTTTTCCCATGTCCTTCACCCTAACCCAACACACCAGGCCTTGTCATCACACAGGACCACACGCAACCCATTGTCAGTCACTAATAGTCCCCATTAGCAGCTATTCATTCTCCCAGATTGACCTTTACTCACTTGCCTGTTCAACTATTTTCCTCTATCTTTGGGTTCTATCTCCACCTAAAATTTACTCCCCACCAATATCACCCCCCACCTCAATCTTCTGTAACAATACCAATATTTTCCAAGCTACCATCAGTCTGAAGAAGGGTCACCTGACTCGAAACTTTAACTGTGATTTCTCTCCACAGATGCTACCAGACCTGTTGAGTCTTTCTAGTAATTTCTTTCCTTGTTGTCAATGATCAACTGTTTTCTTGTGCTCCAAACAGGCTGCTACCAAGAGAGACAACAGACCATAAATATATCCACCAATAACTACATTGAACAAAATTAGCTGGAACAGCAGCTCAGTGGTTAGCACTGCTGCCTCACAGCACCAGCGACCCGAGTTCGATTCTACCTTTGGGCGACTGCAAACTCCACACAGATATTCTCCTCGTGTCTGCGTGGGTTTCCTCCCACAGTCCAAACATGTGCAGGCTAAATGGATTAGCCATGGAAATGCAGGGTTACACGGATAGGGTGGCAGGTCCTGGGTTGGATACTGTTCGAAGCATCAGAGCAGCCTTAATGGGCTGAATAATCACTTTCAGCACAGTAGGAATTCTATTATTAACCCTCTAAAGATCAAATCTCACAAGACCACAGTAGGCCCAAACTAATAATCAATAATTTTAACATAACTTTTGGATAGATTCACAACATTACTATAAAACAACGTATTTGGCAGGAAATGGCTCACAGAATCAAACACAACTGAGACATCACCCCCATGACCAGTGAAGTTAGCAGTTGGAAATCTTGCAGTGAGTAGCTTACCTCCTACCTCCCCAAAGTCTGTCCACAAGGCACAAGACAGGAGTGTGATGGAATACTCCCCACTTGCCTGGATGAGTGCAGCCCCAACAACACTCAGGAACTTCGCACCATCCAGGTCAAAGCAGCCCATTTGATTGGCACCACATCCACAAGCATCCCCTCCCTTCACACTGATCCTCAGTAGCAGCAGTGTGTACCATCTACAAGATGCACTGCAGAAATTCACCAAAGATCTTCAGACAGCACCTTCCAAACACACGACCACTTCCATTTGAAAGGAAAACGGCAGCAGATACATGGGAACACCACTCTCTGCAAGTTCCCCTCCAAGCGACTTACCATCCTGACTTGGAAATATGTCACCGTTCCTTAACTGTTGCTGGAGCAAAATCCTAGAATTCCCTCCCTAAGGGCATTGTGGGTCTACCCACAGCACATGGACTGCAGTGGTTCAAGAAGGCAGCTCACCACCACCTTCTCAAGGGGCAACTAGTGATGGGCAATAAATGCTGGGCCCAACCAACAACGCCCATGTCCCACAAATACTAAAAACATTAAACCTTTTAATTGAGAGAACTTTAAGGTGCAGCTAGTCCATACAGAATTTAAAAATTGCTGAAGCTGTTCATGATTATTGTTAGAACATATTGGGTGGCATACTGGCTCAGTGGTTAGCACTGCTGCCTCACTGTGCCAGGAACCCGGGTTCGATTCCAGCTGCGGGCGACTGTCTGTGTGGAGTTTGCACATTCTCCCCTTGTCTGCACAGGTTCCCTCTGGGTGCTCCAGTTTCCTCCCACAGTCCAAAGATGTCCAGGTTAGTGTGGATTGGCCATGCTAAATTACCCAGAGTGTCCAGGGATGTGTAGGTTAGGTGGGTTATAGGGGATGGGTCTGGGTGAGATGTCTGAGGGTCGGTGTGGACTTGTTGGGCCTAAGGGCCTGTTTCCACACTGAAGAGATTCTATGATTCTATGAAATATCTTGATGAAATTATTGTGAATGTACAGTGCTGCAGTTCCAAATGTCCAATCTTCTGAACTACTTCTGTAATGCAAAAATATTCTAGCTGTTGTCCCTCTCTGCAAAGCCTTCCCATAACAATTCATTTTAAAATCATTTATTCTCAACTGAACGAGGTCAGAAAATCAGTAAAACCACACAAAGCTGAGACTGTTTCCTGGAAATGATTTTCATTCACGGCTGGAACCAAATGGAGAAAGACCACCATGACCTCAAACGTTACCTCTATTTCACTCCATGCATTTCAGGAATATTTTGGATCCTGTGTCTAAATTCTTAAGTTTTCAAACTCAAATCCACAAAAGGACCAAACAAATTTATAAAAAGGCTCAAGCAACAGGGAATCTTGTTTCACACAATTGCCAGTTAATGACAAAGCAGTATAAGTTATAATTTCTGCTCATTTCTGAAGAAGGGTCTAGGCCCGAAACGTCAGTTTTCCTGCTCCTCTGATGCTGCTTGGCCTGCTGTGTTCATCCAGCTCTACACCTTGTTATCTAAGTTATAAAGATTCATTAATGATTGATTCTTATACATTATCCATAATGAAAATAACATGACAAAGACAATGCATTGAGACAGGTGTAGAAACCTGACAGTACAGGTGGTCAGACCATCACTATGGTTTGGAACCTGTGTTGAAGTTGAGGATTAAATTTTGAATGGTACTTTTTAAGGGGGAAGTACTGCTACTGTTAATCCTGAGACCCAGCAAGACATTCTGGGAGCCAGGTTCGATTCTCACCATGGCAGATGGTGGAATTTGAATTCAATAAAAATCTGGAATTAAGACTCTAACGATGGCCATGAAACTATTTGCTGATTGTCAGGAAAAACACATCTGGTTCACTAATGTCCTTTAGGGAAGGAAACTGCCATCCTTACCTGGTTTGACCTGCATGTGACTCAAGACCCACAACAAAATGGTTGACTCTGAACTGCCTCTGGGCAATTAGGGATGGGCAATAAATTTTGGTCTAACCAGCAACACACACATTCCACGAATTTTAAAAAAATTGCAGCTGATTTGGGAATTGGCTGGAAAGGCCAAACACTAATTAACCAGGAAAAGTTTAAGCATACTGTTGCTGATTGGGCACCAAGATGTTGTTAGCCTCAGGGACTGGTAGCTGTTTGAGTGTTGAACATCTCCACCTTGTTGGGTAGATACCAGTGTTGTAACTGTACTGGAACAGCTTGGCTAAGGGAGCGGCAAGTTCTGGAGCACAAGTCTTCAATACCTTTGCTGAATGTTGTCATGGCCCATAGCTTTTGCAATATCCACTGTTTCTAACCATTTCTTCATATCATGTGGAGGAAATCGAATTGGCTGAAGACTCAGTTTCAACAAGATTCTGAACTAATTAGAGGTAATCAGAGTACTTGTGTGCAGGTGTCACTAACTGATTCCTTCCCTCGCATTCTGCAATGATTGGCGGAGGGTTGATGAAGCTATAGTTGGCCTCAGTGTCCCCAAGTTAGGGAAGTGATGGAAGAGAGTGATCAGCTCAGCTCTACAGGACAGTGAGTTCTGTATTTGGAGATTGCAGGATTGAGCTCAGTCAACATGCCATGTGGAGAAAGACACTTCAAGACTCAAAATCAAGTGCCTCACTCTAAAACGGCCAGTTACACAAGCCGTCAAGCTGCAGAATTATAAAGGAGCTTGGGAAATAGCTGCCGAGGGACAGGGGGAGACAGACCAGGATTAAATGGTTCATTCCACCTTTACATTAACACAGCCACAGGTTTCAGAATTCCCAGACAAAGTGCAGGTGTGGTCATACTCTTCAGACTCACAACAGGGAAAGTGATGAAGTGTGTGTGTAGGAGTACCCATCACATGGGAGGTGCCATTCAAAAATACCATTCATCTAGGAATGGAGCAGAATCTTCACAAGAATGAATGATAGTAACTAATTGATAATAATTTGAATTACTGTATGTGTAAATTCCACAAAGCAATCAAACTGGAAAGAAAAGACATTTATTTTAAAAACAATGTTTTAAAGAAACAGTCCAATGCTTTATCATGATACATTACTCGTAGAGAAATCCCAAATCCATGGAAGCTGTTGAGACTCAGGGGGCAACAATCGGCATGTGCTGACTCCTTACCGTCTGCCACTTTGGCAAAGTTCCTTCATAATGTTCCAGCAAAGAGAAAAACCACTTACTTCCCCAAAACAGCCACACTTTTCAGCCATTCCCATAAAACAATCATCTTACTTTCTCCAACCTTGTGTAATTTGTATGTGTGTGTGTGTGTGTTGGTGTTGTGAACTCCAATAATTGAACAGGAAATGTGACATTTCAATGGATGAGTTAATATAAGGTTGGGTCACTTACCTCTATTGGTCATCATTTTTCAATTCAATCCCAGGCTCCATGTAACATGAGTAAGGGAGTAACAGTTGTTTTAAAGAGCTTTCTGGAAGAAATAATAGAATCTCCCCTGACAATTCCTGAATCCTTGCTGAGTCCTCATCACTTCTTCCAACCAACAGCAGTTCTCCTTGTTCCTGCTCATCCGCTCTCATGAAATCCGTTTTGCAAACTGAAAGAAAGATTAGAATTTGATAACCACTGTGAATGATGGAGACAAATCCAAATGAACATCCATCGGAACACGGCTGCTGTGTCTTTAAACAAATGATTGCACTATTGTAAAACAATAATGAAAGTTTCTAAAGATCTAGTAAACAAAGATATCTTCTTCAGAAAGATGGCTGGATTCCTGAAAATGATAATGTCCTTTACTCTGTATAGTAAAGTACTCTGTAAAGTATCTTACTGGCTGGAATGAAGTAAGCAGTTTTGGAGATTGGATATGAAATGGGTTACAACAGGTTTTTTTCAACACAATTCAGTGTGTTCCGCAATCTTACTGTAGATTAGCCAAAATTTATAATGATTCAAAATGCCTTTTGGAATAAACCTAACCAGCTCTGGGTCTGTTGCCAATTATTTTCAATCTCTGTCCTCTCATTCCTGACTTTTGAACAACTGAATGTTTCTGCTTACGTACTTCCCCAAAACCCTTAATGATTTTCAGCATCTTTATCAAATCTCCTCCTTAACCTTCTCTGCGCCGAGAGAACAATCCCAGCATCTCAGCAGAAGGCAAGGGGGCATGGGATAGGGGGAAATGTGGCAGATTGGATTCAGAATTGGCTGACCCTTAGAAGACAAAGGGTGGTCGTGGACAGAAAACATTCAACACGGTGCTCAGTTACGAGTGGTGTACCACAAGGATCTGTTCTGGGTTCTCTTCTATTTGTGATTTTTGTAAATGATTTGGATGGGTGGATTAGCAAGTTCGTAGACGATACAAAGGTGGGTCGAGTTGTGGATAGTGCGGAGGGCTGTTCTAGGTAACAAAGGGACATTGATAGAATGCAGAGCTGGGCTGAGAAGTGGCAGATGGAGCTTAACCCTGAAAAGTGAGAGGTGATTCATTTTGGAAGGAAAAACTTGAAAGCAGAATACAGGGTTAACGGAAAGATTCTTGGCAGTGTGGAGGAGCAGAGGGATCTTGGGGTTCATGTCCACAGTTCCCTGAAAGCTACCACCCAGGTGGATAGAGTTGTTAAGAAGGCGTACAGTGTGTTAGTTTTCATTAATAGAGGGATTGAGTTCAAGAGCCGTGAAGTTATGCTCCAGCTATACAAAACCCTGGTTCGGCCACATCTGGAGTACTGTGCCCAGTTCTGGTCGCCTCATTACAGGAAAGATGTGGAAGCATTAGAAAAGATGCAGAGGAGATTTACCGGGATGTTGCCTGGAATGGAGGGAAGGTCTTACGAGGAAAGGTTGAGAGCACTAGGGCTTTTCTCTTTAGAACAACGAAGGATGAGAGGTGACTTGATAGAGGTATACAAAATGATCAGAGGTATAGATAGAGTGGACAGCCAGAGACTTTTTCCTAGGGTGGAGGTAGTTATTACGGGGGGATATAGTTTTAAAGTGAGTGGAGGTAGATACAGGGGAGACGTCAGAGGTAGGTTCTTTACTCAGAGAGTGGTCGGGGCGTGGAATGCATTGCCGGAGAGGGTAGTGGAGTCGGCCCCATTAGGGGCATTTAAGCGGCTACTAGATTGGCATATGGATGATAGTATAAGGTAGGGGTGGAGGTTAAATAGACCTTAGGTTTAGGGTAAAAGTTCAGCACAACATCGTGGGCCAAAGGGCCTGTACTGTTCTGTGTTCTGCGTTTTATCTCAACAAAACTGAGCTCCTTCATCTTGGGACTTTTGTAGTTAAACTTCTCTCTATTGCCCCTTGACATTCAATGGGATTACTATCACTAAATCCTCCACTCCCAACATCCTGGGGTGTCCCATTGACCAGAAACTCAACTGGACTCACCACATAAACACAGTGGCTACAAGGGCAGGTCAGAAGCTAGGAATACTGAAGCGAGTAACTCATCTCCTGACTCCCCAGAGTCTGTCCACCACATATAAGGCACAAGTCAGGAGTGTGATGGAATAGAACATAGAACAGTACAGCACAGTACAGGTCCTTTGGCCCACGATGTTGTGCCAACCTATTATACTACTCTAAGATCAAACTAACCTGCATACCCTATATTTTACTATCATCCATGTGCCTATCCATGAGTCGTTTAAAGGTCCCTAATGTATCTGACTCCACTACCATCACTGGCAGTGTATCCCATGCACCTACCACTCTCTGTATGAAGAACCTACCTCTGACATCTCCCTGTACCTTCCTTCAATCACCTTAAAATTATGCCCCCTCATAATAGTCATTTCCACCCTGGGAAAAAGTCTCTGGCTGTCCACTCTACCTATGCTTCTCATCATCTTGTACACCTCTATAAGGTCACTATTCATCCTTCTTCACTCCAATGAGAAAAGCCCTAGCTCCCTCAACATTTCCTCATAAGATCTGCCCTCCATTCCAGGCAGCATCCTGGTAAATCTCCTCTGCACACTCTCTCTAGCTTCCACATCCTTCCTACAATGAGGCGACCAGAACTGAACACAGAATTCCAAGGTTTTATAGAGCTGCAGAATAACCTTACAGCTTTTAAACTCAACCTCCCTGCCAATGAAAGCCAACAAAACATGTGCCTTCTTAACAACCCTATCAACTTAGGTGGCAACTTTGAGGGATTTATGGACATGGATCCCAAGATCCCTTTGTTTCTCCACACTGCCAAGAATCCTGCCATTAACCCTGTATTCAGAATTCAAATTTGACCTTCCAAAATTAATCACTTCACACTTTTCTGGGTTGAATTCCATCTGCCACTTCTTTGCCCAGCTCTGCATCCTGTCAACATCCCATTGCAACCTACAACAGCCCTCCACACTATCCACAACTCTACCAACCTTCGTATCATCGGCAAACTTACTAACCGACCCTTCCTCATCCAGGTCATTTATAAAGATCCCCACTTGCCTGGATGGGTGCAGCTCCAACAACACTCAAGAAGCTTGATACCATCCAGGATAAAGCAGCCGCTTGATTGTTTGTGGATGTGGTGCCATTCACTCCCTTCGCCAGCGACGCTCAGTAGCAGCAGTGTGTACTTTCTACAAGTTGCACTGCAGAAATTCACCAAAGATCCTCAGACAGCACCTTCCAAACCCACAACCACTTCCATCTAGAAGGAAAAAGGGCAGCAAATACATGGTAACATCACCACTTGCAAGTTCCCCTCCAAGATACTCACCATCCGTACTGTTCTATGTTCTTTCTGATATGGAAATTTATCACCGTTCCTTAGGTGTCACTGGGTCAAAATGTAGCAGCTCCCTTCCTAAGGACTTTATGAGCCTACTTACAGCACATGGGCTCCAGTCTGGTTTAAGAAGATAGCTCACCATCACCTTCTCAAGGGCAACTACTGACAGGCAATAAATACTGGTCCAGCTAGCGATGCCCATATCCCAGAAGTAAACATTAAAAAAAAATCAATAATTTCACATTTTTGGGAAATATTTCCTTCAAATAGTGCAATAATGTCACATCTCACAGTGCCAAAGATTAAATTGTAATTGGCAATTGTGGTGTCTGACCCAAGGAGAAGTAAATCAAATCATGGGGAACATTACATCCTTACAATCTTCTTCAGGCAGGGACTGCATTGATTGTGCACTGTGGTGGCATCGCAGTTCAATCTGTCAGCGGAGGCGATGGTCTAGTGGTATTAATGCTGGACTGTTAGACCAGAAACTCAGCTAAACTACTGCAGGCAAAAACTTAAATTGCTGAGAAAACTCAGGAGGTCTGGCAACATCTGCGGAGAGAAAGCAGAGTTATGTTTCGAGTCCAGTGACCCTCCTTCAGAAGGATAGCGTTTCGGTTGAACATTAAGACTGTGTCTTTTTGTTTTTGTGTGTTTTTAAATTGTAATTGAAATGAAAAAAAAAAAGAATTGTTTTAAAACCAGAAATTGCAAGGATTGCTGGATGATTAGAAAGCAAGTAACCAGACACCATTTGTGAGCACTGTTTACACAGCTATGGCTTAAAGCCGGGATTGCAGCCATTACCCTATGGATCTCCTGGAGCTAAAATATTTGATCTCCAACCACAACCATCTTCCTATCTGCCAGGTATGACTCCAGCCAGATATTTCACTAAGTGAAGGGTCTATAGGTGTGAGGCTGGAAAAGCACAGCAGGTCAGACAGCATCCAAGGAGCATGTGAGTCAATGCTTCAGGCCAAAACCCTTCCTAGCCACTGTGCCTCAATATGCACTCACCAGTACAAGGGGTTCAGCTCAATCTGTTGGGATGAAAGATTCACACAGTCTCTCTCTATGTCTCTGTCTCTACAGAAGCTGCCAGAGCTGCTGAGCATTTCTAGCACCTTCTGTTTTTATTTCAAATGAACTTCATTGGTCGTGAAAAGTATTGGGATGTTGTGAGGTTTGCAAGGTGCTATACAAATGCTACATAAATAAAAATGTTTATGGTTCTGCCCATTCTCTAGGGTAGAGAACAGAGAAACAGAGAAACAAAGAAGACAGGAGAAGGAGTAGGTCATTCAACCCTGGAGCCTGTTCTCCCATTCAACCCTGGGGAGGTGATGGCCTAGTGGAATTATTGCTGGACTGTTAATCCAGAGACCCAGGTTCAAATCCCACCATGGGGTGGAGTTTGAATTCAATAAAAAATAAACATGACCATAGCTGATCATTGAGGTCAATGCTTTAATCCCATCCTCCCTCCATGTCCCTTGACCCCTTCAGCCACAAGAGCTATATTTAACTTCTTATTGAAAATAAGAAGTTTTCCTTGTCCAGTCCTGTTAGAATTTTACAGGTTTCTATGAGATCTGCCTTCATTCTTCTGAATTTTACAGGTTTCTATGAGATCTGCCCTCATTCTTTTGAACTCTAGCAAATACAATCCTAACCACTCAGCTCCTGACCTCATTACAGCCTTGGTCCAAACATGGGCAAAAGAGCTGAATTCCAAAGGTGAGGTGAGAGTAACAGCCCTTGACATCAAGGCTGTATTCATCCGAGTGTGGCATCAAGGAGCCCTAACAAAACTGGAATCAACAGGTGTCGGGTGG